AGTAATGAACTCCTTCCGAAAGCCATTCGTGGACCTACTTTTCCCGTCCTATCCAACATCGACAAACTAGGAGAGTCCTATCCAACGTTTCGTCGGACTATGATACCGGAACTATCAACTCCACTTCTCAAGATGGCGAGAAATCAAGAAGCCTCACCCCATCCATCCCAGCCCCCGATCGGGCCCTCGATTCGTGAAGTTTTGTTGGCCTTGACTCGGTTGGAAACCAACTATTGCCTGACGCTGGAGGTTCACCTCCAGCCAGTATGATCACTATACCCAAATGGGAACACTCCCTCGCTTGACGGTAATCTAGAAGTAGATTTACCCACCTGTCTGTCACTCATTATATCATCAACATCGGTTATTATCACGTCTCCCTACTGTCCTTCAGTGTCATGTATTTTGATACCCGCTAGTCCCTCGATTTGAGCGGACTTATGACCTTCGTTTACCCAATTGTGAAGTATAGCAAACACATACGTGTCTAATACATGATATATTAAGCCTAATGAATCGGATTCACTGAATATCTTTCAATAGAAATGTAGATAATATTGCTCGGCTTCGGTGTTCGTCAAGTTGCTCCAGTTATAGCTCTCTATTGCACCATCTGTCCCACAGCAAACTCCTAAACGCCATTAGCCACTGGTCGTCTACCAGACTGAATGAGCACATACCGGAAACGCATCTGTAATACTAGCTGCAACACGTTCCACATCCTCCGCGAGACCCTGCACCCCCGCATCCCACTGTCGAATATGTCGTCCCGTTGCAGTGGCCGACCCGCCCTCGCTCGAATCAAAGTAAATCACACCGGCGATTTGGTCAATGCTACCGTTCAGTCGACCCTGCTCGACCATCCGCGCCGCGTAGGCCTCCGCCTTTTCACCCGCCGTCATGTCTTCGCTCTCCTTGAGACCCAGGATCGCTCCCAGTGCGTCCGTCGTGATGTTCTCGTAAAGCTTACTGGCGGCGACGAGGTTATGTTCGACGACAGCCTTGTCGAGCACTGTGGTGCCGTCGGCCGTCCGAGCCAACTGGTGCGGAGCTAGTCGTTCAGAAAACGCAGCAATCTCAACTGGGTCCAGGAGTCTATCTAGGAACATCTTTTCAAGAATCCCGAACTCCTCAACGGACGTCGCACGGTCGTCCTTGTACAGCGTAGCGAGGATGCGAGAGCGTTGAGGTCCCGCCGGGGCAAGAACCGCACACCGGATCGCAGCAGCAAGCGCCTGTAGCCGATCGCTCTCATCCACGCCACCGGCCAAACTGACGTTGAAATATTCCTGGCTCGCATCCAGGAACCGCCGTCGCGCATCGAGGATCCGGGCCTGAGACAGTTTGAAATGGAGCTTCAGCTCGTGGTCCTCGATCTTGCTAGGTAGGTTCTTGATTTTGTTCAGGAACCCCTCTGCGCTCGTCGTGTCGTCCTCCTCCAGGTATAGTCGTACAATCCGGATCCATAGCCGCACCTTGGCAGCGTCCGAGACGAGTCTCTGCGAGCTGTCGATGTGGATGCCCTGTAGTGCCCGTGCGGCGGCCGCATACTCCTCCTGGGACTCGTATGCGTCCGCGAGAATCTCACGAATCTGGGAGTCTTGCTCCTCGACGGATGAAGAGCGAGATTGGAGCAGTGTTACTGCATGCTGGCCGACTTTGATCTGCGTTTCGGGTGTGAGTTTCTGAAGCACGGCGATGAAGGAGTCGAGGAGCGGTCGCGCCGCTACGATGCTAATTTCTTCGCTGAGTACCGAGTCAAGATAGTAAATCAGGTCCTGGCCAAGCTCGTGTTCGGATGATGTGGATGTGATCTCGGAGAGAAGGTTGTTGTACTTCTGGAGCTTGGTCTGCGGGTTGGTGGACGACTCAATCTCCGCGAGTGCGGAGGCGATCCTCTGAGATGCCATAAAGGGTGTGTTTTCTGATGGAACGAAGTGCAAGCCTAATCTAGTCAATTAGTTGATTCAGAAGCAGTACGATTAGCGAGCAGATGCGAGAAGAAGACCGCTTAATGGGTTGAAAGTGACGCTTGGCAAAGAGCGGAGGAGTTAATGGAGCTCCGCTTATCGATAAGGCTGGTTGTGCTGAGGACATACAACAATACAATGTGGAGAGAACAAGGGAATTTAAACCGACTACGAATCAATAAACATACTATGACTCCATCTGGGGCAATTGGGCAGATCAAATACTACTCTGTAACTCCACATCCTGTCCATGGGGCAAGCCTCTTGAGTGTCTATGGCAGCGTTAGGCTTAGTTAAAGCCCTGTCCGCAACCATGTTCCTCTTCTGGCATTCTACAAGATACTGTTAAGTATGTTCTCTTTAAAGGTTTCAAATTGCTGGACTCAAGTCAAACTGAATCATCCATCTGAACTGAAACTAGGCTCCGGCACACTAGTGACCCCTAAGCCGATGTCTTGCCGCTGTGACTCGCTGCAAGATGAAGTTTTGGTTGACTCGATGATCAGCGAGATGGCACGCTCAGAGCTCAAGGCAATCACCGTCCATAGTATATACCAAAAGCCGAATCACACAAACAAGAAAACCTCGAAAATCCTCTAGAATCGACTTGGGTTTCACTAAGCGGAAGTGTACTCATAACTGGAATCATGTCGCTTTGTGACAGGATAGCAACTAGGACTTTGAAGCTGGCGTGACGGATCGTGGGAGCCTATTCCACTCGAGATTATTGTTTCATCAAGAGACGCAGAGCCAGACTGAAAAAGGCTGCGGCACCTGAATAATGTATCAGAGGGAGTAGACAGGCGCAGTTCATTATTTCTGCTCGCATGACTTTGGTGGGTAATAACACTGTTCAATCCCTGGCAAGCTCGTCCACTGTGCTGAGCGGACTTGCATCAGCTAGCCATAATTTAGAACTGTAATATATGCAACCCATGCTACTGCAAAGGACATTCAAATGAAGCTGGATGATGGGTACTTGATTGCTGAACTGTTCATCGAGGGGTTTGTTTTCGTGTCTTGGTGGTCACTGGTCACAATAGCGCCACCGCCTTCGCGGACCCGCTCTTCGGCGGCTTCCTCTGGTCTCAGCGGCTGCATAGCGACAAGCTTCGACATCACGTCACTTGAGACTTCGATCCCCTATACAGGCCTGGATACGATCACACATTTCTCACGATACACACGGTCGCATGATTTGATATTGCTCGCTCGAGGATTTTGAGAGTCTCACGCCTTTGCTGGAGGAGGTTTCGGCATAATGTTTGCCCAGGTCAAGCCGGACCCAGACGCCCCGACGCCTTACATCAAGCCCGACCCCGATAATAAAGACACCGTTCTTGCTGATATCGACGACGATATTTACGATGATGATGGGGACCTGGATTTTTCAAGTGCTGGGCAGAATGTTTGGCTTTCGCGCATCCCGCGATCGCTCTGGGAGCATTGGGCGAGTCTCGATGACGATGAAGAGGTACAGATTGGAACGATGAGAATAGAGGGCCCACCGAATGATATTAAACGGGTAAGCTCTGGAGATCTTGGACTTTGTTCCAGTATTGTCTTTTTGTTTGCTGGCCCGGTCGTAACAAGTGCTCTCTGCAGGTCAGTATTCGTCTCAACGAACGAGAAGACAACCGCGATATCCCCAAGGACTACATTCTGCAGCGACAAACCATCAACCCGGGAAACGTAACGTCACATGCGACACAAAACACCTATCTATTCACGGAAAAAGACATACCTGGTCATGAAAATCGCATGGTGGTTTTCGGAGAAGCGCGATCGGCATTATACGAAGCCATGAAGCGCGATGCAAGGAAAAAGGAGCGCAGGAAAAAATGGGAGCCATATGTGCGGAGGACTGTGCCTAGTATGTTTATATGGTCTTGGAAGCGAAAGACATTACTAACACTGCAGCAGAACAAACCGCGCTCGTAGGAGGCGTCAACGAAGAGTTTAATTGCCTTCCAGTCGAGAACGAGGAATTCCGACGATTGTCGGAAAAGAGAGCTCTCGAAGCACTAAAGCCCAAACGCGAAACTGTGTTTATTGATAAGGTTCCAGGCAAGCTTCTCCAGGCGAGAAATGTGTTGCCTGGGGAGAAGGGCGCCTTTGTGGTATGTTTTGGATGGATTCAATTGACTTCTGTGACAGTTATATTAATGCGGAATGCAGCAAGCTACGAAGCCGATCAAGGCAAAGGCCCAAGAAAACAAGAGCACACGTATGCCACAGAACGAACTGCTGGATCTTATTTACCAGTGTTTCCGCGAATACAAATATTGGCCTTTTAAGACGCTCAAGGCGAGACTCCGACAGCCAGAGGCATATCTCAAGCAGACCCTGGAGATGGTTGCGCATCTGGTCAAATCCGGCGATTTTGCCATGACCTGGGAACTCAAACCTGAGGCCATGGAAAGCAACTACGCAAATGCACTGTCCTACGGGAATGCGAAAGAGGAGCTTCCTCCTGGAACCGACTACAACTTTGACGACGGTTCCGAAGAAGAGGCCAATGCATCTGGCATGGTTACTGATAACGACGAGATGAAATTTGAGGACGTTGTCTAAGAAGTGAAGTTGTGTAGCATAAGCAGGTCATGGCGTTCTTTTGGGGCTTCTGGGCACATGTAAAGGACGTTTGGAGTCATCTACACTGGTATCACGTAGCTAAGATCCACCATCAGACTGGGTGGTGCAAGTGTGAATAAAATACATCAATCTCATAGGGTGACATAAAGCAAATATGCATACAGTATCACTATCCTAAGTAAAATGTCAAAGAGAAGTGAAACAGCCACGAACCGGCACCCCTCAATAGTAGAGTACTAGAGCTAGCTGCTCACGTGATAGTGATACCGCCACAAGCTGACCATATCATGGACTTCCTACATCACAATGAAACAAGAACACATACCTCTCTTACTGTTCCTGCAACATCCCATCGACTAGTGGGAAGATAGAGTCTAGGGCATATGTGCACAACTGACTTTGGCCTTTCTGCCTTTCTGTTACAGCTAGGCCAACATGACAGAAGACCAAGAGTTGATGGCTAAGATCAGCCAGCTAGCTGGTGAGCTTCCTCACTTCTATCGGCTCATTTCTCTACCGCCAGCTGATACATTCTAGGCCAGATCAACAGGCACAAAAACCAAACACCCCAGGCACAGGCACAAGCACATCATGATAGCGAGCTTCATGCTGGTCCGTACGTGTCACGGCACACCCGCGCGCGTGCGGGATGGGCGCCGTATCGCGGACGACCATATGGACGCGGACGTCCTGCAGCTCCTCATCGCCACCGTACTCTCGTCCTCAATAACGCGAACTCAGGGAACTCTGCCAATCCAACACCCGGACCAACGAACGAGAATAGCGAATCGCGATCGGCGACCCCGAACGGCTGGGTAGCGAAACGCGACCGTCATATGCAGCTGATCAACTCGGCTATTTACGATAAGGAAGCACAGGCCAGAGCGAAGGCGATGGAGCAGACGCGCAAAGCCAAAGCCGAGAAAAAGGCCCGGATTGAGCAAGCCAAAGTTCTCCGTTACGCGCAGGGCTTTGGCAGACCTCACCATGCTACTTCTGTTGCTCCTCAGGTTTCTGCCACCACCCAACCCCACGGTGAATACCAGGTCTATCTGAATGATATTCCTTTCAGAATTGCAAAAGGCGGCAGTAAACTGGTTCGCGTATCTGGTGGGGATCCCTTCTGTGCTGCCACGGGCAAAAGAACTGGCTTACCTTTAGTAGACGACCCGAATACTGCCAACATCACACCAAAGAAAGTAACGGTTGCTGGTGTCACTTTTGTCAGGAGCAAGAACGGAAACCTTCACAGACTCGGAGCGGTGACCTCGAAAAGGTGATGTTTCCGATATCTTTTCAAGAGCGTTCAGAACTCACAGTGATCACAGAAAACCGACGGCAGTCAAGAAGAGAAACGAGCTTTGCAAACGATTTACTTCGACGGGTACCAGCACTTCCCCAACCAGGCTTCCGCCCCTTCTTTTATTATCTTCCGCAATCTTACCTTCTCTCACTTGTTCACGGTCTATTTACTACTATTTGAGCTGTCAGGGCTGATCTAATTCTCTACATTTAGGTGCCTGTTACAAAGGACCATCATGTCCCTTCATTCACGATCCGAACAAAGTCGCCATTTGCAAGGAGTTTCTGCAGACTGGTAACTGCAGCGCTGGTCAAAATTGCGACTTATCACATGAGCCATCGCCCCACAGGTCCCCTGTTTGTGTGCATTTTCTGAGAAATCGGTGCTCGAATCCAGATTGTCGATACTCCCATGTGCGAGTGACACCTGGCGCACCCGTATGCAGAGATTTTGCAAACCTAGGATATTGTGACAAGGGCGCTGAATGTGAGGAACGACATGTTCACGAATGCCCAGATTATGCCGCCACCGGCGTCTGCAACAAGAAACGCTGTCGTCTGCCCCATGTCGACCGGGCTGGACAAATTCGAAAGAATGCTGCGAGTAAAGCAGATGTCGCGGACGAGGAAGAGTCTGACGAGTCAAGCGAGGAAGAAGAGTACGACGCCATCGACTCCGATGACGTTGACTCTGACGACCTCGATGATGAGCCTGAATTCGTTGAAGGAGCTGACAATGGCGAGCAGGAGCTCTTCCAGCAACACGATTTCATCCGCTTCTAATCTGTACATGCTAACACTCTTGCACATATGCGCAAGTATCGTAAATGATGACTCGTTTAGTTCGCACTGAGCGACTCACGGTGGGAGTCAGTGATCCCATCTTATCGATCAACGTAATTGGTTGGACATCAGTGTTTCTCTCATCATGGCTCATGAAGGGTCTCGTTCAGCGGGCGGAAGATGATACCCCTTAGTATAGCTTCATGGTTCTTCGCGATTCAGGACGACGTTGACCGGTGGCCTGTCGTTTGAGTTACTTGTTAGTTCGGGCGGGAGGATAGGTACTTGTGGTTTGATACATGGTTACAATAGATAGCCAACAATGGAATGGTTGCTTGTTATTGGCTTATATGTTATGCTTCCAACATCTTCTTAAAACGAGTTTCGTAAAGAACAAAGCAAGGACGAATGCCATTCCCTCTGTGCAATCATGTAAGGGAACCTCCTCTCCTTCCCCAGAATCTGGGGAAACGCCTACTATCCGTCCTGCGTCCCCCAGACTGAAGGTGTGAGTCATACACCGATAGCAACAGTACCGCAGTCAGGTACCCAACTCACCCAAGTGGGCAAAACCATATCATAGGAACAGAGCTGCAGGTATGGAACAAATGAGAGACCCAACCAAAAGTAATTTCTGTACAGGCCCCCACAACCATCCCAGGTCCGCAATGCATAGGCCTACATTTGGTGCCTGAACTTCTGGTAGTCAAACCAGCCAACCCCGTCCCTGAAGCTGAAACCTGATAGCCATAGACTCTCAAGAAGACCCACTGAAGATACGGAGTCCTGAGGACGCCATCCTTTGACAAATCAACGTCATTTTGACTTTAGCTCGCGCAGACTGGCCGTGGTCACTTGGTCAGTGCCGATCCGCACAGCATTGAGGACTCCATATGCTATTCCCATGCTATGCCATGCCATGACATCCCCTGACTACCTAGGACTCGTTATGGGTCTTTCTGTATCTGAGCATGCAATATTACTGAATCCGGTTTGTATCCATCGGGATTCTGTACGGAATAATCTACAAGTTGTCATTGTGGTTATTGGGGGGTCTGGTGTCCGTCCTGCTACACCGATCTTTCGGCGGGTACTGTGGGATGAGGAGCAGTTTGGCTCATCTCGTAGTTGCGTTGACAGCCAAAGATGGAGATTGGAGACTGGACAGTTCCGATGTCCTTTGTCTCTGGAAAATGACCGAGAGTCGATTCCGATTCTGATTCTGATCATGGTGGTGCGCAGACCGTGGAGAATACAATGGAGGAGCTACCGGCCTTGGGATTGGAACTCGCATGACGCTTGAACTTGAAGGTGAAGCATACAACACTACTAAGGCGCAGGTAATAACCAAAGGATTGGAATTGCATAGATAGGTTAATGTTGGCTCGTCTGAAGCTGCGAGACTTACTCGCCCGGGAAGCGATGTCCATAAATGTATATATAGAATCACGCCGTCGGAACCGCAACAAAGGCAAATTGTGAACGTCATTGTGAAAGCTGTTCCTGAAGGATGCGATAGCCACAATGCTTATAATTTCCTAAGTCAGTTTCAGGGCAATTGACACTCGATATACCACAGTTGGGATGATATCTTCGGCTAAGCCAGGACATGAGCCTGGCCTGACACGGCGATGAGGATCCGAAAGGAGGCAGTAATCTTCAAGTTGGAAGTCAGATGATGGGCTTGATATGGGTCTCATTGGATTTCCGCTTAGAATGTGTATGGATTTCTTCCGTGGTAAGCAATGCTGAAAAAGCATTTCGTTGAGCCCGACGGCAGAACGGAAGGTCAATGAGAGATGCATCATTTCTTGCCCCATTTTGCCATTCTGGAAAGGCGCAAGGGAGAAATTGACACTGTGGTTAATCAACGGGAGTAATCTGGTCCTGCCTAAGATGCCATGACCTTCACAGTATGACTGAATGATTCAAGAAGCAACAGACAGGATTACCTTGTCAGTAGTATATTCGGACGTACTATGTATGGTACCACTTTCAGCTACTAGTCCGAAAGAGATAACTGCGCACTCTGTGTAAAAATCAACTCACTGGTTACGTGATTCATAGCAATTTCGGGCTCTCCACCGAATCTTCTCCTTGCTCTATAATTGGGTCGATTTTGCATGTACACCGCCAGTTGGGCGACATCCGCGCTCCTCATTGCCGACAGGCCGCGCAAGGTCATATCCGGCGTTATCTCAATCTCCTGTATGGGAAAGGAAGACGATGGCTTTCTGAAAAAGAGATTGAGATTTACGCATGAATTGTCATGTGCGGTAGGGTTTCATGTGTTGGTGGATCATCAGTTGAGTTGATTCCACCAATGTTTCTCAAGCTCCCGGAGCAATTAATGAAAGTCACTCTTTCAAAGTACGATTTGGATCTGATTGCTCGACTGTATTTGGAGAGGGCGAAGCTCCCCGCTGCTTCAACATGAAGTGTCTGGTGTCTGCATGATAGCATTTCTCTCTCCTTTGTAGCACGTAAAAGTACTTCAGCCCTATTTCGCGGCCAATATTCGCACACAGCAAGTATCGATGGCCTCTAGTAGCGCCTTGTCAAGTGTTATTTTGCGGATCCAAGGCCAACGACAGGAAAAGCGTGGCACTGACGAAGAATAGTCGACTTGCGCATCTATCTACTCCACGCTGTTGACAATCGCATCACCTGGTCTTCATATAGCTTCGAGCATCATGTATGATACCTGAAACAGCAGTTAGCCCTCGTGCATCCGTTTTTGGAAATGGAGGAGGAGACGATGCTTCGAGAAGAGTGAGTCATACTTGCTCTTTTGGGCTGTGGAGTCCCTGGTTCTGTTCCATCTCATCGATAAGGAGACGCATGCTGCCGTGCTATTCGCCCATAGGCTGATGGATTAGGGTTACTGGCAGAAAGTGGGACTCGACACCGCTACCCGTGGACAATTCCTGGATCCCAGTGCTGAAGTGGATGTAGGACGCTTCATGTTCCTCTCAAATAGTCCCTAAGAGGCTAGAATTTAAGAGTGACTTGATTTCGGGGCGTTTTCGCCAAGCCCTTCCTAGATCAGTCTCATCTGTGGTATACCAGATCCGATTAGACATTCTATCACAGTGCCAGTCGACGGATTATGGACGTATGCAAAGGACTTGTCTTCTTGAGAAGCCAAGTTGCCAGTAAAGAGCTCATGAAACGGACTAAATAGTGCCATGAGCCACGATGTATTGCAGGTCCCGAGTTCCGATCACCAGTTGCAGGCGGGATCTGCAGGACATACAGTAAGGGCATATTTGCGACCATAACGGAGTAGAGACTGTCCTTATCAGAGAGTTTTGCGACATATTATTAGGATTGACATGAAACAAGCCGATGATTCGCTTTCGGCCCCTCGTCTACAGTCAGGTCAGCCAAGTGGTTCGAGAGAACGGACGAGGAAATACACTTCGACCCAAAGCTCGCCTTATTTCTGCATGAGAACCAGATTGACGGAACTTGTGATAGTTCAGAGAGACCCCTCCTTATGGCATTGTGACGTGAATTTCCTGAATTCCGCGCAGCAAAGCAACGGTGCCTTATTCACGTTAGATTTCAGCCGGACAAAGTATGTTCAATCGTCAGTCTGGCCCATTTTTTTAAACTAATCCTCATTCGTGCTAATGTGGACGTGGACAAACTCAAGAAACGAGTCAGCTGCTACGAGGTAAGTAAACTCTGAAGGGCCGTTCGTGTAGGCCTTCGGCGGCCAGGCAGACTAATAAGATACCAGGTAAGAAAAGTAATCATACAGAATCACATATTATGGGCTTGCTTATGCAAGATGCACAAGAGCAGTGCCTGGGATTGAGCATGATCATAGGTAGGTAATAGTAATGACAAAGTCTGTGCGCCAATAGAGAAAGGATCGAATCCGATCTGTCTGTGCATTCCTGCATCCGCTCTGCTTCCACGGGTGGCCATCTTTCAGTGGAAGAAGCACGGGCAGGTTGCAGTGACACACAGACAGACAAGGTCCATCATCTTTGACTAACCAGAAAGGAACAAAAGAGCCTTTGGGTGGATCGTGGAATGAAATTGGGATCAATGGAACCTACCTGCGGGCCGGCCCTACTTACTGTTCCAGAATTGGGAAGGTCACCGTCTGTGTAACTACCATGGTATCAAGTATGGCCTTCATGAGTGTAAGGCGTGTAAATAGCTCCATTTTAATAATAACTCACCCCCGAATTGATTCCCGAAGTGAAGTTGGTGAAGCGAGCAATGAGCTCAACGGATTAGACAGCTGAAGGAGGGTCAATCGAGGAATAGCTCAAAGTGTACTTTTGACACGGAGCTGACAGGTTACCCAAATCCTTGGGAAACAGGAACCGAGGGAGCTGTAAACAAGGCTGTATCAATAATATTCACTTCCTCAAGGTCCGGGAGAACGTCACACTGCTTGTTGAACGATTGGCCCTGCCTTTCTGAAATGAGGAAATCATGATACTGTCTGGTATGACATTTTGTTCATCTGATCAGTGTCTTGTCCCAGGATTCCTTTCCTACCTTGGCATAGATCCGAGTCTAGAACGGTACGGTAATGTATAATTACTGGACCGGATTGATCGTGATTCATCGTCGCGGAGTACGATAGGTAACTACCAGGTATCCACATACTTTGATGCTTCCAGAGTAGCCGATCATGGTAGCGGTGGACAATCCAAACAATCGCAGGTTAGTAAACGGTGAGCGCACAGACAATCAACTGTCTTTGGGCATCATCCAAGATTCAGGGCCAGGGCCGATGGGCCCAAGACGGCAATATTCTCTGCATCCGTTTGGTGACTCGCGACGTACCAATGAGTTTTCTCCTCTAACTTGTGTCCAAAGAACGACCATTTTGGTTGTTATGATGGAACCTATGAAAAGGTCACCATAGCAGACAGTCCCTGAATTGTTTGAGTGACGGAGATGAGAGTGGGGGTGGAGATCATCAGCTGTTTTCTCTAGACGCGATAATGTAATGTTGATAGGCTATCGATAAG